CGTGATGGTGTACTGTGTGGATGTCGCAAAACTGTACCGTGCAGTAGAGTCCTGATTATTTGAATAACTTGGGAAACATCTGATGTGCGATAATTTGGGAGCTAATAGTATCCCACTGCTGCTACAACGCTTTTGGACTATAAGGTGGATAGAAAGTTGGCTAGATTGTCAGGCTGAATGGGTAGTGATCAATGGCTCCATGTCTAGTTGGCAGTCGGTATCAAGTGGAGTGCCCCAAGGGTCGGTCCTTGGGCTGGTTTTGTTCAATATCTCTTCATAAATGATCTGGAGGATGGTGTGGATTGCACTCTCAGCAAGTTTGCAGATGACACTAAACTGGGAGGAGAGGTAGATACGCTGGAGGGTAGGGATAGGATACAGAGGGCCCTAAACAAATTAGAGGATTGGGCCAAAAGAAATCTGATGAGGTTCAACAAGGATAAGTGCAGGGTCCTGCACTTAGGACGGAAGAACCCAATGCACAGCTACAGACTAGGGACCGAATGGCTAGGCAGCAGTTCTGTGGAAAAGGACCTAGGGGTGACAGTGGACGAGAAGCTGGATATGAGTCAACAGTGTGCCCTTGTTGCCAAGAAGGCCAGTGGCATTTTGGGATGTATATGTAGGGGCATTGCCAGCAGATCGAGGGACGTGATCGTTCCCCTCTATTTGACATTGGTGAGGCCTCATCTGGACTACTGTGTCCAGTTTTGGGCCCCACACTACAAGAAGGATGTGGATAAATTGGAGAGTGGTCCAGCGGAGGGCAACAAAAATGATTAGGGGACTGGAACACATGACTTATGAGGAGAGGCTGAGGGAACTGGGATTGTTTAGTCTGCAGAAGAGAAGAATGAGGGGGGATTTGATAGCTGCTTTCAACTACCTGAAAGGGGGTTCCAAAGTGGATGGCTCTAGACTGTTCTCAGTGGTAGCAGATGACAGAACGAGGAGTAATGGTCTCAAGTTGCAGTGGGGGAGGTTTAGGTTGGATATTAGGAAAAACTTTTTCGCCAGGAGGGTGGTGAAACACTGGAATGTGTTACCTAGGGAGGTGGTGAAATCTCCTTCCTTAGAAGTTTTTAAGGTCAGGCTTGACAAAGCCCTGGCTGGGATGATTTAGTTGGGGATTGGTCCTGCTTTGAGCAGGGGGTTGGACTAGATGACCTCCTGAGGTCCCTTCCAACCCTGATATTCTATGATTCTTCAGACTAAACAAACCCAGTTCCCTCAGCCTCTCCTCGTAGGTCGTGTGCCCTAGCCCACTGATCATTTTTGTTGCCCTCCACTGGACTCTTTCCAATTTGTTCACATCCTTTTTTTGGGGGGGGGGGGGGGCAAAACTGGATGCAATACTCCAGATGTGACCTCACCACTGCTGAATAGAGGGAATAATCACTTCACTCAATCTGCTGGCAATGCTCCTGCTAATGCAGCCCAATATGCCATTAGCCTTCTTGGCAACAAGGGCACACGGTTGACTCATATCCAGCTTCTCATCCACTGTAATCCCCAGGTCCTTTTCTGCAGAACTGCTGCTTAGGCAGTCAGTCCCCAGCCTGTGGCAGTGCATGGGATTCTTCCGTCCTAAGTGCAGGACTCGGCACTTGTCCTTGTTGAACCTCATCAGATTTCTTTTGGCCCAATCCTCCAATTTGTCTAGGTCACTCTGGACCCTATTGCTACCCTCCAGCGTATCTACCTCTCCTCCCAGTTTAGTGTCACCTGCGAATTTACTGAGGGTGCAAACTATCCCATCATCCAGATCATTAATAAAGATGTTGAACAAAACCGGCCCCATGACCGACCCCCTGGGGCCCTCCACTTGATACCGGCTGCCAACTAGACATCCAGCTGTTGATCCCTTTTAATTAAGTGCACATTAATTAAGTAGGAGGAATATGTTCTCTTATAGTCCATTCATCCAATCCATACTTTTTTAACTTGCTGGCAAGAATACTGTGGGAGACCGTATCAAAAGCTTCGCTAAAGTCAAGATATAATATGTCCACTGCTTTCCCCATATCCACAGAGCCAATCAGGTTGGTCAGGCATGACTTGCCCTTGGTGAATCCATGTTTACTATTCCTGATCATCTTCCTCTCCTCCCAGTGCTTCAGAATGGTTTCCTTGAGAACTTGCTCCATGATTTTTCCAGGGACTGAGGTGAGGCTGACCGGTCTGTAGTTCCCCGGGTTCTCCTCCTTCCCCTTTTTTTGAAGATGGGCACTATATTTTCCTTTTTCCAATCATCCGGGACCTCCCCCCATCACCATGAGTTTTCAGAGATAATGGCCAATGGCTCTGCAATCACATCAGCCAATTCCCTCAGCACCCTCGGATGCATTAGATCTGGACCCATGGACTTGTACATGTCCAGCTTTTCTAAATAGTCCTTAACCTGTTCTTTCACCACTGAGGGCTGCTCACCACCTCCCCATACTGTGTTGCCCAGGACAGCAGTGTGGGAGCTAACGTTGTCTGTGAAGACCAAAGCAAAAAAAAGCATTGAATACTTCATCTTTTTCCACATCATCTGTGTCTAGGTTGCTTCCCCCATTCGTTGTTGCTAACATACCCGTAGAAACCCTTCCTGTTACCGTTCACCTCCCTTGCTAGCTGCAACTCCAGTTACCACCTAAACAACATATGCACAAACCCCTTAAGACCCCAAAAATCCAATCCTGTTCTTAAAAAAGATAGAAAATACATCTGGAACTTAGGCTTTTGCTAGATTTAAAAAACCCACTTACAAAATTTAAACGTCAAGAATAACCTTCTTGAGGTCCAGCTTAAAGGTTACAAGCAAAACAAAAGCATTTGGGGTTAGCATCGAGGAGTCCATAAGCTTTACAAAATAAAAGAAATAAACCTAATCGCATCTTTCTAGACATTTCTGATCTATTTACATATCTTGGTTTCAGATAAGTAGGTTTGAGGTATGAATTGATGCTTTTTCATGTCTGGTTTTAAAGCTGCTTACAGCATTGCTGCTCTGTGTCTCCTCTTTCCGGAGAACAACACCACACAGACAAAGGAAATCTTTTAAAAATTCTAGCCCTCTCATTGGCTCTTTTGGTCAGGTGTCCACTCCTTTCCTTTTACCTGTGGGCTTGTTAACCCTTTAGAGGTAAAGCAAGTAGAGAACTGCTACTAAGAGGAATTTTATACTTAACTGGCTGTCTGGGTGTCCATAAAAGGGAGCTATTCCTCCCCCTCCCCCCACCCCCCCCGCTTCATTTATCACAGAGGGACTCAAACTTCTGTGTTAGCCTGAATAACATATCCTACCGTGTCACTAAGGACTTGATCCTGCACTCACTGAAGTTAATCGCTTCAGTAGATCTTAAGGGTGCAAGAAATTGGAGCAAGGAATCACTGTTTTATTCCCCACAGGGCAAGGCAAGCTACAAATAATATTTTCTTTGCTCAGTCAATAAAGAAAATAGAAAATGTTTGAGTCAGTAGCTATGATTTGGATTAGTAATTATCTAAATCAAAATAATTTGCCAAGTAAAGTGGAAGGTTTCATTTCAAATTTACTGAGTGTATTGTTAATTCTTTAAAAACAAAATACTTTTTGCATTGGTTTATCATGTCTTGTTAAAAAGGATTTGTCAAAATAGCATGAAAATTCACGTATCCTTTTCAGTATGCATTTCTGTGGCCTGGTGCTTTCCTTAAAATTTATCCCCTGTACATCTACCTGCTCAAACATTATTGGATTTTTGTCAATGTAGCATGTGAACTTTCTAAGTTTGGCAAGCTTCCAGGCACGGTAGAGGAATTAATATTTAAACTATCCTAATTTTTAAAAATATATATTGTGTGTGTTTAACTATGGAGAATACATGACAGCCCAAAGTGACGGGTAGAATAAAGGTTTTATTGGTGTATATTAGAGATAGTTGCATTAGTAGCAAAGCCATGAATGATTACCCAAATCACCCTAATAAAACATTTTATATCACATCACCCATATTCTGTATTCATTATACCATATAATTTACAGGAAAAAAGTTTTAAAAATCTTTCAGAAACCTGTTTTTATTGATCTTGTTTGTATCCCTTTGCCTATAAAGCTACGGTCCTTGGTACAATCAGTTCAAAGGTGTAGGGCTCAAGGAGAGAATGATTTATGTTTTGAAAAATTATCTTTTGAAAAATCTGAAATAAATACAAAAGATCTGATATTTCACAACCTACTAAGCTGAAATTAAAGACCTTTAAAGTTTTAAAAAGTGGGTTCCGAGATTCTTTTCAATGGTCAAATGTACCCATTTCTAGCCTTCATAGTTTGCAAGGTATTGGATTTTAACATTGGGCTACTGAGAGGTTTGAGTGTTGCCTGCCCGTTTCCTATAATATTAGATGAAATGGCATAGCTATGTGAAAAGAAGGAACTTATCTGCTGGAATGTTGAAAAGAGAAATCAATTATTTGAAGCTGCCTGAAGGTTTGGCATGTAAGAAACAATTCTGGTAGAGATGAGAGTATTAGTGAGTAGTGGACTGGTAAGATGATCAAAGGTGCATGGTAAAATCAAATGATCACATAGCTCTACAATTTATCACATGGATTTCACTATCACACATGTAATATTAATGTATATGCAATCTAATCTGTCATCTCTATTGGTTACCTACAAGGTATGAGACATTTTTGCTGGAAAGCTGAAGGATAGCTCTGATAAAGCTACAATATGACTTGAATACCGTTCAAGTGGGGGAAGCCTGTCATTTAAAATTAATCAATCCACTTTGGCAAAAGTTAGGATACAGGAGCCATTTTCCTGGGATGGAAGTCAGCCTTTCTCTCCCTCTGCCCCCAATGAAATATATTGTTTGAAAATGTGAGCAGGGGTTAATTTTTAAAACAAATGACAGCCAAAAATAAACTGAATGATGTTTTACATATTATTTTCTTTCTCAAGTGTGAAACAATCAATGTTTCGGTCATACACTGTTGAGTGATTGTATTTTTCTTTTTGTTTTTTGCAGGTTGTCTTAGTCTTTGCTCTTAGTATTGGTGCTCTTGTAATATACTTCATAGATTCGTCAAAGTGAGTATTCTAATACATTTCCGTTCCCCTCTTTTGCTAAAGCAAGTATGTGCTTTAAATTGCTCCATTCATCTACTTAAATTCAACATTTTTTATACTCCTCTCCTGAATGCAAAGAACTTTATAATAGTGCATAGTCTTCCAGGCTAGTTTTAGGGATGAGGGAAAGATCTTTTGTAAACTATACTGGTCTTGGTTACATTTGATGCTAGAGAAGGAAAGGATAGAAAATAACATTTCTCTTAGTTTAGAGTATGCATACTTCAGGAAAAAAAAATTCTTCCAGTTAATTGAGACTTTAATTATCCTTCAAGGACAAAAGTAGAATAGAGGATGTAGGGAAGGGAGTTGGACTTGAGAAGTCATAGGCTTACAGGACAAATAATGTGTGTATTTAATGAGAATTCCAGGAATTCCTTTGAAAACTCATCAAAAGACTCTATGTAGTACATACCATAATTATATCTAGCATTGTTACCTATTCAGATTACCAAATTCTGAGTCTGATGGATTTGTCCCAGGCCATGCAAACTGAATTTGTAGGATGTGAGTAACGTTTCAAAATTTTTTGGGGGATGAACAAAATGTGGTCAAGTAGTGATGTTTCAACTGGGAGAGGTCAAGGTTTCATCATGACCCTGCATCATCATGACATATCAATGTAAACATAACAGTCATGATGTCTTGACACAGGTTAATGTAACCTAACTTTATATCCTTCCCTTTGATACATGTCAGCAGTTCTTTGTGTAGCAAGGACAACATATGTGTGGGGCTGGTGCAAGATTACCTAGATCAATGGCCTTGCATGAGCCACAACCCTGGTAAGAAGGCAATTGCAAGGGAGTTAATAGAATGTTATTCAGTGGAACATCCATTAGGGAGCGTATTCCACTAGGGCATCAGTGGTATTTTAAGGCACTAAAACTATGTCAACAGTTTACCACCTATCTTTGGGCTTGTTTTTCCTGCAACAGTTAGCACACTTGAGTTACTCCACTTGAATTAGCTTAGCAAAAGTGAGAGCAACCACACTGCAGAATAACGCTTCAGCTACATAGAGTGATTTGATGAGCAGCACAGGGTGATTGGATTATTAGTTGTTGTTGTTGTTTGTTGGATTATTAGTTGTTGTAATTCAAGATGCAGCATCCTTAGTGCATTATTAACTGGAACATCAGCAACCCTTGAGCTTGAGACATCATTCGCCCTCCACATCCCCGTTCCTCACAGGCCAGCTAACTCATGTTTAAACTACCACTTGACTTGAATGAGGGATTTTTGTGTGTAGACAGGAGTTGGGTGAAGGATAACACTCAAGTTATACCTGAAGCTAACAGTGCGGTGAAGGCAAGCCCTTGAACGTTTGACAATTCAACTAGAGTTTTTATGAGCTTCTCAACCTCGCTAAATTCTCCTTATTGTGTCACCCTGTAAGCTGTGGCTGGTCTGAAAGTAAAAGTGAAGTATCCTTGTATATACAAACTTTATTGAAAAGCCCTGGCAATACTTATATGCACCATACAATGCTTCATTGAAATGGTCAAATTAAACAAGAATGACATGGGTAGATGAAACTGTTACTCCTGTTTTTTAATTTCAGCCCAATTAAATTCTGACTGCAATGGCTGTGCCCCTCCCTGGAGCCCCTCGTCTGTTGTGAAGAAGTACAATACTATAGTATTTCTTGAGTCTTGTCTGCTGAGTTAATTCTAGGCAATGGGAATGAGAAACTCTGACTTAATGGGGAGATTTGTAGGCATGTTTATTTAGGCTACCTAATCTGTGTAGTATTAGTTTTATTGCCATTTCTCACCTACTGAGGGTAGCAGAGCAGTTGAGCTGCAGGTTGTCTCATCAATTAACTCAGCTAATATTAAACTCAGAATTGCAGTTTTCAGCTAACTCAAACCAACAGGCTTTCTATTACTGCATTATTTAAAGGGGGTTTCTTCTATCTCTTCCTGAGGAAAGTAACCCCTACTAGCTTAATTCAGATCTAGGAACTCCACAGTCAGCATCCTGCAGTGAAAAGGTCTGAATTAACTTGTTGCATTAAGAAGTTGATATGGTGTCCATTACAGCAATGTGGCACCACAGGGCGTGAAATATCAGTCTATTAAGACACCTAAATGCAGATCTCAGTACTGTGTGTAGTGAAAGTAATTCAGAGTTTACATTGTGAAAACTCTACTTCTGTTCAAATAGTGAAAAGCACCAGTAACACACTAGAAATGTGCATTTGAACCAATGGTTGATATAAAAACTCTAGGGGGACTGTAAAGGCTGATATACTTGTAAAAAAGGCAACCCAAATGGGGATACTCTGTTAACTTGCACAAGGCTAATCTTCATTTTGTGTTTGTTACACTTCTGCTCCTGTGAATAATGATCAGACGAGTCAATCAGCAGCTAAATGAGGTTGCAAACTTTTAATAAAATATGGTGTTAAACTCATTGTGCCTTTCCATTGCCATTGCCTTGAACCATTTGCCCCAGCCAAAAACTCTTATTCAGATTTGTTAGCACATTTCATCTGCTTCACACTGACTTTGCACTGGTAGAAATGGTACAGGGCAGCAGAAAATCAGATACATCTCCTGGTTTTCCAAATGACTCAGAAACTGCTGCACTTTTTTTTTAACTAACTCTAAACATCTGTAGGCCTGTTACAGAAACTCAAGGTCATATTGGAGTAAATGCTATAACCAAATGTTACAAAAGGCTGGCTAAATTTGACCATTGATATCGTAACATGAGGGAAAGTAAACCTCATGCTTCAGGGTGTCAACTGTGGGAGGGTATGATGCTTCCCAAGGGTACCCCAGGCTGTGAGGCATCTCACTATCACTTGTCCTTAGTGTGAGAAAGCCTTGTCTTTGTCTGCTATGGGTGAGCTGCCCGCCTCCACCAGCCCCTGGCAACACAAGCACTCCCCTTCGAGGCCACGTAGGCCCTGCTGTCACTCTGAAGATTAGCAATTGGCATGCTCCAACCCTGGATCCTCACTTCTTCTACAATCAGCAATGTATAAGTACGTGGACTGTCATGCCTTGAGTGAGTCACTTCACCTGTTTGTGTTGCATTTTTTCCCATCTGCAGTACAGGCATGACTGTTTCCAAAGAGTGTCCAGCCCCTAGTCTGCTGACTAGCACAGTACTCTCAGATTTTCTGCATCTGAAAAAAAACTACACCCCAGCTTACCAGTTCCTCCTCCGATCACTGCTCCACACAGCACTTAGATAAGTTTATGGTGAAATTGAGCATGTTTATTGAACATAGCACAAATATTTAAATCATAGCAAGTAAATGCATTGAAAACAATGGTTATGTACAAAATTAAATCATCACATGCATTCTAGACCCTAGGCTTAATTAACAAGATACTCTCATGTTTTGTCGAGTATTGCTCATCCACATTCTTGCAGTGCTTTACAGCTAGAGTCCTGTGTGGACACAACATTTGGATCCACATCCATCCATGATCCGCAAACATGCTCCGTGGATATAAAGTGGCTATCCATAGATTTGCAGGACTCTGTTTACAGCCAGGCTGGCTGTAACCCTCTTTTCATGAGACATGTATGCTGTCATAGGTGAAACATCCAGTATGTTGCTTTGCACTCCAAGATATCCCAGAACTATCCTTTGTCTTCATTAGTAAACAAGACATCCCTTGCTGTTTGTTTATTACTGTGAATTTCTTCTCTTATAGATTTTACAATTTCTCAGTATGCGAACAGACACACCTAGCTCTCTGTCTGGCCACTTTTGAATTGTATGCTTCGCTATGCATGCCTGTTTACCTACTCCCTGAAAGGAACGTTTCTTAGGTATGTCACCTCCCGGTGGCCTTCCTTAACTCCAAGACCTTAAGAATGTAATTTTCAATATAGATATATAATTCCTTAAATATTATCCATATATTTTGCAATGGGTATGACAACCAGTGGACTACTGGCTCTCGGAAGAGACTTCATATGTCACCCTTCTGTGAACTGTTATGCAGATATCCAACCCAGGGGATCCCTGTAAAACCTTATGTATCCCTGTTCCCTCTTCCAGTTGGCACCAAGGGGTCCTGGCCTACACCAGGTGATACTGAATGGTTTAAAACAATACACATTGGCTGGGTGTTTTATAGGATGGTGGAAATGTCTACTATCAGACTCATTTTGATTTATTTAATTTTAAGAGCACCTGTTGCCCTAGCAGCAAAGTGCTTTTTAAAAGATTTAAATACATCTCTCATAAGACTCCAGACAGTAAGCACCATTAAAGAACCACTGCTACAAAAATATTTGTTATAAAACCAATAAAAACACAAATCAACTAAGAGAATAGTAAACCAAGCATATCTTTCCTGCATCATGTCCTGGAGCTGTGATTGACGCAGGTTCTGGTAAATTTTGAGGAGCAGGAAATTCTAGAGGAAAGAACCTTCACCTCAGGAAGTAATTTCTGGATTTTGTCAGCAAGTGTCTCCTAACTCACCTTGAAGTGATGGATGGTCAGAAAAGGGACTTTCAAAATGCCACCTTCTCACTCAGCTGACCTGCTTCTGGGCATATTAAGAAACCAAATATGATTCTGTTCTGACAAAAAATAAGCTTTTTTTCTATATTTTTTATATTTGTTAGAACTTCATATCCCACATTGCACTGGGAGAGTGAGCTTGATTATATTCTGACTCCAGCATTACCGATCAGTTATAGCCCCTTAAACTTCAGTCAGGGGGAGACAAAGGGATGGAGTAATATTGTAAGAGCCTCAAGGAGTTCTTGAGATCTCCTGTCCAGCCTACTAGGACTATGACTTGCTTCTGCTCTTTGGTCAGGAGAAGTACTGGATCCAACAGGCTGCAAGTCATTTTGGTGAAAAGCAGTCACACCCTAGATGCACGATCCCTGTGCTTTCCTTTGCTAACAAATACCACAAGTTCTACAGGTTGAGTCAAGGGTCAGTGAGCTTTCATCCAGACCACTGTTTCTGTCAGACA